AAAAATATCAGATACTTTAAGACTTTTACGCAAGTAAAGTTCCTAAAGGAAACTTTAACTTTTACCAAAGTAATTTTTTGGTAAGAAACTTGTACTTTTACTCAAGTATCACTTTATGGTACTTTATATAACACTGTATACTTAAATAGTGTTTACGATGTCTTGTAGGATTTGTTAGTACTTGAAGCATGTTTTGTAAATACCCGTTAACAACAACTATATCTTAATATCTGTAAAATTTACTAAGATATAGTCTTTTTTATTCCATGTAACTTTGATTTTGCTGGTGGTATAGACACACGAATACAGGCACGACAAAAACTATATTATATTTGTCTTTTTTGTGTCAAAAGTTAAAGTAGACATATGATGCTTTTAAATCCTTTAACATTTAAGCCATTCAGTTGGGTCTTCATATAGTGGAATTACAATACTTTGATTTGAATTCCTCCTTATTCTAACTGAACATTTTTTTCTAATGTGTGTCTCAAAGTAGCTGRTTTTGTTACTGTTRAGACGGTTCAAGCCCCGCCCCCCTCTGGCTTCCAGACTGGACCACTCCAGTTTGACAGAATGGGGGGTGGGGGGTTACGTTTTCTAGCTTTTTTTTATTTTTAATATAATTAAAAGATGTCAGCAATGGAAGACTTGTCCATCCAGCCTTACATGTTGGAACCAGAGTCTGACCCAGAACCAGAGTCTGACCCAGAACCAGAGTCTGACCCAGAACCAGAGGAGATTAAGACAAGGCAATTGTAGTTGATAAGTCCAGACCTAATTTAGTAATTCTGTCACAGATTATTTGACGTAATCGCTCAAGAAACACCACAGAAAATAGAGAAAACTGAAAGGGCTGAAAAATAATGACCCAAACAGAATATAGAGATATCTTTGCAGCACCAGGAGAGAGTAAAATCAACTTTTCTGCCCTGCAAAGTACACAACAAAATGCATTTAACAGCTAAAAAAAGTGGATTTTGCATGTGTCCCCTTTAAAATAAAAATTTAAACTAAGAAACAGTACTTTATATCCATTGAGCGTCTGGTACCACAGATGAGCATTCATATTCATGTACTGTATTTATTCATGTATAATACGATCATCATTTTTTTAGCTTAAAAAGCATTAAAAAAATCTCATCATCAACCTGTGTGTAATACCCCCCCCCCACACCCACACACACACACACACACACTTTATGGATGATTTTTAGGGTTAAATTTCTAGTATTATACATGACTAAATACAGTATCTGTTTTTAGCAGCAAAAACTTAACTTTATGTGCTCATCAAACTTTAGATTAGATTAGAAATTAGAAAGACATTTACATTTATTTATTTATTAAAACCTTTCTTTTATCACTAAATAACTTTAGGTGTCACAAGCAAACATTTCACCTGATGGGAATAACCAAACATATAAAAAGCCATGTAACTAAAAAAAAAAATAATATTCTTTAACAAAACAAACCTTTTAGGAAACAGAAAAATGCTAATGCTCAAACAAAAGTGCTTGCAATCTGTTTCTAAGTGCAGCAACAATACGTTGGATCTGACTGTTACTGCTTTGACCTTTCTGTGCACAGGCATCATTAAGCTGCGGCGGAGTCCTCCTCCGAGGCTCAGGGGTCCACAGTACGTCCTCAACATCACCGCCACAGATGATAACGCATCTGGTGGACCGTATCCTCTCAGCGGCTCTGCACAGGTCATCGTTGGGATCAATGACATCAACAACAACAAGCCGGTGTTTGAGGAGGTGACAGAATTGATCCTGCCTTATTGGAGAATAGAAGTTTTTTTCATTTACTGTGAGTTCTCCTTATTGATTGTGACGTTTCTGTGCCCTCAGTGTCAGAACTACAATGCAGCCGTTCTGGAGAACCAGCCACCAGGGACGTTTGTTCTGAGCGTCCAAGCCTACGATGCCGACATGGGGGTCAACGGAGAGGTCAAATATGGCATCATGCACAGGGACGGAGTGTCGTCTGGGTTTGAAATAAACCCCGACACCGGTGAGCTCTACGTAAATGTTTAATCTCTGCGTGTTTTGTGTTAAAAAAAAGGCATCATGTAACTAATTGTAACGTGATTATTGTGTTTTCTCAGGTGTGATCACAACAATGGGGAGTTTCGACCGGGAGCGTCAGAGGGAGTTCRCCCTCTCGGTGACGGCCACCGATCAGGCCGAAGAGCCGCTGATCGGGATCTGTCAGATCACGGTGCTGATCTTAGACGAGAACGACAACGACCCCAAGTTTGAAAACAGCCGCTATCAGTGTAAGAACCACTGAAGGAGGGTTTCTTAGTTGTGATAGTCATCCAGCTGGTGCCCACCCCACAGCAGTCATTGTCTGAGAGGCAGGGTGGTTTGATAATCAGCTTAATTTCATTTGTGGGTCTGTTCAGAGTCATGTATCACATAAACCTTTAATAAGTTTTGAGACAACCTTGAGTTTAAGGAAAACAGGTGAATAGCCGACTCTGTGTTGGCTGTCACTGCTGTCGACTCGGCTGCGTCTTTGTAATCCTGGAAAGCTTTTAAGACTGATGAAATATTCTCAGCCAGCCCCTATGGGTCGGTGTTTGTTTACGACGTGTGCAAATATGTGTTTTGATAAGCGTCTTGTCAGAAGTTCTCTGCGTGCGATTACAGAAAAGTACAGAGTGGCTCATTAACTATTTAAGAAGTGGATTTAAATGTTTCTGGGACATGCATTTATTTCCTACTGGTTAGTGTGTGTCTGTGTGTTGTTTGCAGGCGTTCTCCTTACAGAATACACGTTCAGTTTAGCCAACTTGTTAATAATCCTATAGGCTCTTTTACAGCGCTTGGGCAAAGGTTTTGGACTTCAGGAAAGGGATGATAAGCAGCCTCTGAATGTTTTTCTTTACCTTCTATTAGCTGTAGCATTTTTGCGTTTCTCTCTCCCGCAGAGCAGTCTGTTTGCTGTGTGGTTAACTGTGTCCTCTGGCAACAGAAACTACTTTCAGATGTCTAAGAACATGAAAGCAATTTAAATTCAGTGTAGACTAACAACACTTGGGGAATATATGGGCATTTTTGCTGTAAACACTTGCAATAAAGTGGTGGAGAAGCTGTTAAAACCCTTAACCAAAATGATTTCTAAAGTCGTACTGGAAGAAATCACAATCATAGGAATGTAAATGTGTTTTACGGGAAAAAATAAATAAATCCTGTAGGAAATAGATTTTAAAAAGTAGCACAAATGCAAGTTTGAAGATCAAATG